ACTGTGTACACTGTGTGAGTGCAAAAGAAGAGGTTAAGTGGAGGAGTTGGGATGTAGCCGGGTTGTTGACATTGATAGGGATATTGAAGTCTCCAAGGATGATGGTGGGTAGCTCAGAGGAGAGGAAGAAGGGTAGCCAGGCGAAAAGTCATCAAGGAAGTGGGATACGGGTCCAGGAGGCCGATAGATTACTGCAATCCTCAGAGGGGTGGGGGAGAAGAGTCGGATGCAGTGGGCCTCAAAGGAGGAGAAGGATAGAGAGGGGGGTTTTGGAGGACCTGGAAGGTGGTCAGCACAAGGTCAGTTTTTTACAGAACCTGCCATTCCCAGGTCTTCCCAGAATGGCCAGGAAACTCTCCACACATATTTTGACTGCGGCCAGAAGAAGTATTCCTATGTGTTGGCTATCTTCTATACCTCCTTCAATGTCAACGTTGTTTAAAATTATTGCTGATGTGAGAGGGATGGAACACCTAACTGCTATACAAGCCTGCTCGACTGCTGTGTTCTAGGCAGTGTGGCACCCATGGGACAATTTCTCCTCCTCCCATCTTTCTACAAATGTACAGTTCTGATGGCCTCCCCACTGTAGCTATATGACATTATCATGTATGTAACCAAGCAGATTTCACCATTGATGTGCTCTTTCTTTCTCCTGAGTTATTTTTTGTATACTTATATATTTATGTGAAAATCAATAAAAGTTAATACAAAAAAAAAGTCATGTGTAAAGGTTCCTTTTGCAAGCAGGTCCAGCAGACTAAGCCTTTAATGGCAAACTTTCTGTGCATATGCACAGAATAGTGTCATCCTTGAGATTTGGAAAAGTATATTCTCTAGGACATTAACACAAAATAGTAGCAACAAAGGCATGAGCTTTTTGATTAAGTAACTTTTCCATGGCGACAAAAGTCCACAAAGAGTTTTAGAGAAATTAATACCTTTTTTCAAATTAATGGCCAATCCTCATGCAAACCACAGTTCATTTGTGTGCACAAATGAAAAGTCTTTGTAGACTTTGCCAGCCCTTTAATGCCCACAGGACCTTGTTTAGGCTGAGGAGATTCTGGTACTGTTAGGCAAAGGTCAGTCAACACTTCATCAAAAAGATCAGAAGAGCTTAGGAGGTTAAGGTTCATACTCCTAAACAGATTCAGGTATGGTGAGGCAGAAGAGTGCTTTTGGGTTTTAAAGGGGTAGAGAGTATTAGTTAAAAAAAAAAAATCAGACAGTTGCAGAGTAAGGTTATATGTTGCAAACCTAGTGGGGGCTAGAATTTGAAGAAAGGAGCCAAGTCATTGAAGGACCTTGCTCTGATACAAGGGAATAGCTGTCAACCTCAGCATTTCTCTGATTTTCCAGTGTCATCTGTAGCATGTGTGCTATTAGGCCCTTTTTTAAAGCTCCTCAGTACCTTGCCCTGCTATTGTTGAGTGAGGGGATCCTCTGTGGCGTACTCACGAAATGAATGCAGAATGAGAGAGTATCAGCATGCCTGAGAAAGAGCCTGTGATAACCCAAGGTGCTGACAGATATCCCGTAGTTGTGTCTCTAGAACAGCAGGTGGCCAGGAGACCAGCAAGATTGCTTTTTGTGTATGCAGTGAAAATGGCAAGCGGAAGTGCATCAGCAATAAGACACAGTGTAACTACCTCACCACGGAAGCAGCAACACTATGTGGGAAAACCTGCCAAATTTTAAAAAGGTAAGCATTATAACATTACACAAACACAGTAGAAACATTTACAGAGAGATATAACACAAGTGAATAATATCCCACATGTAAAAACAGGAACCGGTCACAAATACAGGCAAACCCTGTAGTTTGCTAAAAGAAACTTCACCCGTCACAGTAGGCATCCCCTCAAAGGAGTCCTCAGGGTCTGGGTGCCACAGGGATTGACCAATGACCTGGACCTGTACAGCACCCTGCAGCTAACTACTCTTTTTGCACCACTTGCCAAGGTGTCGAATTTAACAGAAGCAAACATTACAGGCTGGCCTGCTGTGTTTAATCATCTATTAAAATTTATAAGCAAGTGAATACGAGAGGTAATACATTTGCCAAAACACCGGGTATGATGCCCAAGATGGGGGTAGCTAATACAGAGAATTGTAAGAACAGTTCCTGGAAAAGATTTCACTTTTTTTTTTTCTTGTACTTTAGTCCTTTGATTGCCAAGGGCAAATATTATTAGTCGTGGTAATCAAGGGTTTAAACAAGCTCTTGGCTGCAATAAGTAGGAAATTGGTTACAAGTAGAAAATAAAAGCTGTAAACACACCTTCATATTTTGTGCTAAGAGAATAGAAGAAAAATGTTATTCTCCAAAGTCAATAAGAAAAAGCATGTTACAGCAATTTAGTGAAAAATCAAATCAATTCAGAGCAGAGTATAATTTAAATAATTCACAAGACACACAATACTCTGTATATACATCAAGGTGTCTTTATGTACATAAATGACATTAGCTTTTTCACCATATGCTGTTTCAGTTAGTAGGGGGTTGTTATTCACACTTCTATAGTCCTGCGGGTTTCTCAGCTGTACTACAACTGTACATTCAAATTAAAAACTGGCTTCCTGCATCGCCAACAATCAGTCACTGGGTATTACAGCTGTGTGGCAGTCACCCTTCATAACATTTCTGATGGCCAATCATAGTTTCTAGACTGTTGTGACTAGGATATGGCCGTCTCTGGGGAGTATTAGTAGCTTTGTGGTAGATTAGTAAAAGACAAACTAATCAACACCAGCAGTGGGGCACAGAGGAATCTTGTTGTAACAAAGGAAAACCAATAAAAAAAAAAATACACTGCTCAAAAAAATTAAAGGAACACTTTGAAAACACATCAGATCTCAATGGGGAAAAATATCATGCTGGATATCTACACTGATATGGAGTGCGTAATGTGTTAGGAAAAGGATTCCCCATCGTTTGATGGAGATGAAAATTATCAAACTACTGAATTCAAAGACACCCCAAAAATCAAAGTGAAAAAAAATTATGCAGCAGGCTAGTACATTTTGCTGAAATTTCATTGCAGCAACTCAAAATGGTACTCAGTAGTTTGTACTGTATGAACCCCACGTGCTTATATGCATGCCTGACAAAGTTGGGGCATGCTCCTAATGAGATGACAGATGGTGTCCTGGGGTATTTCCTCTCAGATCTGGACCAGGGCATCACTGAGCTCCTGGAAAGTCTGAGGTGCAACCTGGCAGCGGCGGATGGACTGAAGCATGATATCCCAGAGGCATTCTGTTGGATTTAGGTCAGGTGAGCTTGGGGCCATTCAATGGTATCAATTTCTTCATCCTCAAGGAACTGCCTGCATACTCTCGCCACATGAGGCTGGGTATTGTCGTGCACCAGGAGGAACCTAGGACCCACTGCACCAGCGTAGGGTCCAACAATGAGTCCAAGAATTTCATCCCAATACCTAATGGCAGTCAGGGTGCTGTTGTCTATCCTGTAGAGGTCTGTGCATCCCTCCATGTATATGCCTCCCCAGATCATCACGGGCCAACACCAAAACAGTCATGCTGAATGATGTTACAGACAGCATAGCGTTCTTCACAACTTCTCCAGACCGTTTCACATCTGTTAAATGTGCTCAGGGTGAACCTGCTCTCATCTGTGAAAAGCACAGGGCGCCATTGGCGGACTTGCCACTTCTAGTGTTTAATGGCAAATGCCAATCGAGCTCTATGGTGCCGTGCAGTGAGCACAGGGCACACTAGAGGGTGTCAGGCACTCAGGCCACCTTCATGAAGTCTGTTTCTGATTGTTTGGTCAGAGACATTCACACCAGTGGCCTGCTGGATGTCATTTTGTAGGGCTCTGGCAGTGCTCAGCCTGTTCCTCCTTGCACAAAGGAGCAGATACCGGTCCTGCTGATGGGTTAAGGACCTTCTATAGCCCTATACAGCTCTCCTAGAGTAACTGCATGTTTTCTGGTATCTCCTCCATGCTCTTGAGACTGTGCTGGGAGGCACAGCAAACCTTCTGGAAATGGCACATATTGATGTGCCATCCCTGGAGGATTTGGACTGTCTGTGCAACCTCTGTAGGGTCCAGGTATCGCCGCATGCTACCAGTATTGACACTGACCCTAGCCAAATGCAAAACTACTGAAAAGCAGTCAGAAAAGAGTAGGGACAAAAATGTCTGTGGCCTCCACCTGTAAAACCATTCCTGTTTTGGGGGTCGTCTCATTGTTGACCACCTAGTGCACCTGTTGTTAATTTCATTAACACCAAAGCAGCTGAAACTGATTAACAACCCCCTCTACTACTTAACTGACCAGATCAATATCCCAGGAGTTTAATTGACTTGATGCTATACTCTGATTAAAAAGTAATCCTTTAATTTTTTTGATTGATATATATATATATATATATATATATATATATATACACACACACACACACACACACACACATATACACACACGCGCACACACACACACTATATTGCCAAAAGTATTGGGACGCCTGCCTTTACACGCACATGAACTTTAAAAGGCATCCCAGTCTTAGTCTGTAGGGTTCAATATTGAGTTGGCCCACCCTCCGAAGCTATAACAGCTTCAACTCTTTTGGGAAGGCTGTCCACAAGGCTTAGGAGTGTATCTATGTGAATGTTTGACCATCTTCCAAAAGCGCATTTGTGACGAGAAGGCCAGGCTCGCAGTCTCTGCTCTAATCCATCTCAAAGGTGTTCTATCAGATTGAGGTCAGGACTCTGTGCAGGCCAGTCACATACCTCCACCACAAATTTGCTCATCCATGTCTTTATGGACCTTGCTTTGTGCACTGGTGCGTAGACATGTTGGAACAGTAAGGGACTCAAACTGTTCTGACAAAGGTAGGAGCATAAAATTGTCCAAAATGTCTTGGTATGCTGGCGCCTTAAAGAGTTCCCTTCACTTGAACTAAGGGGCCAAGTCCAACCCTAAAAAACAACCCCACACCCTAATCCCCCCCTCCACCAAACTTTACACTTGGCACAATGCAGTCAGGCAAGTACCATTCTCCTGGCAACTGCCAAACCCAGACACGTCCATCAGATTGCCAGACAGATAAGCGCAATTTGTGACTCCAGAGAACACGTCTCCACTACTCTAGAGTCCAGTGGCGGTATGCTTTACACCACTGCATCTGATGCTTTGCATTGCACGTAGTGATGTAAGGCTTGGAAACCCATTCCATTAAGCTATCTATGCACTGTCATTGTGCTAATCTGAAGGCCACACAAAGTTTGGAGGTCTTTAGCTATTGATGCTGCAGACAGTTGCCGACTTCTGCACACTGTGTGCTTCAGCATGCGCTGACCCCGCTCTGTCATTTTACGTAGCTTACCACTTTGTGTTGAGTTGCTGCTGTTCCCACTTGCTTCCACTTTGTTATAGTACCACTAACAGTTGACCATGGAATATTTAGTAGCAAACAAATTTTACGGATGGACCTATTGCAGAAGTGGAAAACTTCCACGGTACCATGCTTGAATTCACTGAGCTCCTGAGAGCGACCCATTCTTTCACAAATGTTTGTGGAAGCAGTCTGAAGTGTATACAAAGTAAATATAGTGTTAGTCAAATAAAACCAAATAAAGAGTTGAAGCTGTTATTACTGCAAAGGGCCGGCCACCTCAATATTAAATCCTACGGACTAAGACTGGGTTGCCATTAAAGTTCATGTTGTGTGTAAAGGCAGGCATCCCAATACTTTTGGCAATATAGTGTATCTGTAGCAGTTGTAGTTTGAATATTTGCACAAATTAGCATAGGTTTATGAAGTCTTGGGTGTGCTAAACTGTCATTTAAACTTTGTCAGGAAAATTATGTAGGTACATCTGTGAGCTAGTCACCTGTCATATGACTGTTGTTCCCAGTTGCTTCCACTTTGTTATAATACCACTAACAGTTGACCGTGGAATATTTAGTACCAAGGAAGTTTCATGGATGGACTTATTGCACAGGCAGCAACCTATCATGGCAGCACGCTTGAATTCACTGAGCTCATGAGAGCAACCCATTCTTTCACAAATGTTTGTAGAAGCAATCTGCATGCCTAGGTGCTTGATTTTATAAACCTATGGCCATGGAGGTGATTAAAACACCTGAATCCAGTGATTTGGAGGGGTGTCCCAATACATTTGGCAATATAGTGTATATACTTTTTCAATCCTTTCTTCTGACATTCTAGGAATACGCTGCTATTTTCATTGCAGGACAATCTAAATCTATTCAACATTTAAAAGAGCAGAGCCACACATGCAATTGACCATAGCTTGTTGGAGGAAGGTTCCTCACATTTTCTGAAAGTTATCAAACTTAACAAAATTGGTCACTATGAGCTATGGAAATATCCAGCACATGGCTCTATCTAAAGTGGAAGATCTGTCAGAGGTTGTACATTGCCAGCCATCATGTTGCCAGCTTATGTTAATACACACTTGTATAATAAAAGGTTCTAGACAGCCATCCTCCTGGTCAGCACAATATTGCTGCATTCTCACTGTTGCTACCAACAAACAGTTTGCACATTTGCTGGTAGCAAAGTGCGCCAAGTACTTATAATCTCTCCCCCCCCCCCATTACCCCCATTCTGGGTCACCACACTTGAAACTGAATTGTTAGTGGACTAGAAGAAAAGTTTGCTATATTCTTCTATTTATAAGTTCTATGTGTACCTATCCACAGTGGTTAAAAACTGTAGATGTGGCAAAAATGTCTCATTTAGTGTTTCTGCTGTATCTTCAAAAAGCCTCATGCAACTATAAAGTTCAAACCTGTCCGAAACTAAGGCCATCCAGTCAACTAGAGTAAGAAGGGTAAAACAAGGCAGATGGCCTAGGACAGCAGGAAGTTGAAATTCAGCCTTGTGTATAGAGAGAACAAAATGTGTGTGTGTGTGTGTGTGTGTGTGTGTGTGTGTGTGTGTGTGTATATATATACACACACACACACATATATATATACACACATATACATACACACACATACACACACACATATATATATACACATATACATATATATATAGCTATATCATCAAAGTGCCAGTGAAGGGACTAACACCTCCCACTCTAGTAATAACAAAGAGGATTTTTTTACATACCTGTAAACTTCTTTCTGTACTGTATTTCAAGATATGGAATTTACACGCAAGTTAAAATTCTTCTTATTGTACAGAACAGGACACAGGCAAAGTAGTCATAGACCCTTGGATGTCTCAAAGCAATGAATAAGAAGGGTGGGCAACAACTAGGCAGACAGAATTGTACCAACAGGCCCAACATCAAGGGTCAAAAGGATCCAACTTCAGAGTGCCACCGCTAGAACCTTGCAGCCAAAAAACTACATTTGCAGCACAGTGGACATCCACCTGGTAGAATTTTGAAAAAATATGAACAGAAGACAAGGTGGCTGCCTTACAAAACTAGGCTTCCCAGGCCTGGTGCCAAAATGTCCAGGAAACTTCTACTGATCGGGTGGAATAAGCATGTACAAACACTGGAGGAGATTAGTCCTCCAGATTGTAAACTAGTGATTAGATTTCTTATCCATCCTGCAGATGGTGGACATGGAAACAGGGTATCTTTTGCAAGGTCATAAGGGCAGGACAAATAGGGGTCTGATCAAGGCTATAGCTGTGAGGAAGACTCTAATGGCTCTGACTACACCCAGGAAATAGTGATTTATTTTGGATGCTTTGGAGAAGGTCATTAAGACAGTAGGACTATGTCCCCAATAAAGTGCAAGACAACTTTGTCTTTGTGAAGTGGAACAGCTCCTTACAAGAAAGAGCCGCTAACTGCATCTGACAGATGTGTTCGCAGCAAAAAAGGCTACTTTGTAGGAGAAATCATCAAAGGAAATATCCCTGATAGTTTCTAGGAGTGATTTCCGCAGGGCAGAGAGAACAATTCTGAGATGCCAAGGAAGCACAAGTAGCTGGAATGGTGGCTTGATGCGAGAAACACCTTGAAGAGAGTGTTTACAAAAGAGACCAAGCCGGAGGTCTTTGAAAAAGGCAGGCTTCCTCAAAATTGTCGGTCTTTCACTTTAACTGACAATTGCGTGATCATGCAACGCTGCATCCAAATTAAATTTACGTCCTTGTTTTCCCATGCATTTCTTTTGGTGGTATTTGATCGCCTGTGCGGTTATTTTTTACATTAAAAAAAAAAAAAAAAAAACCCACAATTTTGAGAAAAACAAATATTTTTATTTTTGACTTTTTGATATTAATCATGTCCAGTAAAAAAATTAAAAAAAATCAAATTTCGGCCAAAATGTATTCTGCTACATGTCTTTGCTAAAAAAAAAAAATCCCGATATGTGTAAATTAATTGGTTTACGTGAAAGTTATAGCGTTTACAAACGGTGGTATATATACTGGGCAGTTTTTCTTTTTTTCTTTACTAGTTACATAGTTAGTCTGGCTGAAAAAAAGACAAAATTCCATCCAGTTCAACCACAGAAAAAAAAAAAAAAGTTATAATCCTATACCCACAGTTGATCCAGAGGAAGGAAAAAAAAAAACCCATTAAAGCATGATCCAATTTGCTCCTGCTGAGAAAAAAAATCCTTCCTGATCCCCCGAGAGGCAATCGGATATTCCCTGGACCAACTTTACCTATAAATGTTAGTATCCAGTTATAGTCTGTGAATCTAAGAAACAATCCAGGCCTTTTTGGAAGCAATCCGCTGAGCTGGCCAGAACCAACTCTTGAGGGAGTATATTCCACATTTTCACAGCTAGTAATGGTGGCAATCAGCGACTTATAGCGGGACTGCGGCAGGCATTCTGACACTGGGGGGAACTGACATCCCCAATGACACCAATACAGTGATCAGTGCTAATAAAAAGCACCGACACTGTACTAATGGCATTGGGCATGAAGGGGTTAACATTTGGGGCGATCAAAGGCTTAACTGTGTGCTGTGAGCCGTTTTACATGATGATCTGTGTTTGTGCTTCACTGTAAGCACACTGCTTTGCATGACTGTGCTGTGCACAGCCACGCACAGCAGTGTGCAGGAGCTGACAGGAAGAACTGTTTTGTTTATCAATAGTTCTCCCCTCCGTCGGAGATCCTCGGCAATCAACGGGCGCCAGCGAGTAATCACTGGCTGGGACCCAGTAATAGACATCCACGAATGGTGGTGTGGGTAGGGTACACGCGACCCCTACCCGGAAATGCAAAATCGCATATATAAAACATTTTTGTGCACCACTGCCGCCCTGTAGCAGTATTTCTGCTATGTGGCGGAGCAAAAGCAGTTGATACAAGAGAGGATTTTGCTCGCTTTAGAAACCGCAGTTTGGCATTGCATGCCATTATTAAGCTTATGATCTACCAGAACTCCCAGATCCTTCTCCACCATTGATTCCCCTAGTTGTACTCCCCCTAGTATGTAAGTTTCATGCATATTTTTAGCCCCCAAGTGCATAACTTTTAATTATCAACTTTAAACCTCATTTGCCACATAGTTTCTCAATTCAACAGTACATTGATGTTGGCTTTTAAGTTGGAGACATCCCGTAAGGACTTTATTCCACTGCATAGCTTGGTATCATCTGCAAAGACTGAAATTGTATTTTTAATTCCAGACCCTATATAAAGAGACTAAGGTGGAGTTCAGTCCAGGTTTTCCAGGCCACTTTGGAAGGGTTGGTTCCAGACCAGATTTTTTGGTCCACTGATGACCACCAGCAGGTGGTATAAATAAAGCAGGACTGGAGCAAGAACTTGCTCTTGGCCTGGGACTCAAGGAGTCATACCTGTGGATGGAAGAGTTTGCTTTGTACATGAAATAAAAAGGTTTGCACACTGTTTTGTTCTGTTGGTGACAGGGAGAAGCCATTCACCTATGAGATAGGATTCACTTCTATTTAGTTAGTGCCTGGATGGCAAGGATTTATTTTCTGTTCGGTTTTATTTATGATGCATGCAACCTTTGAAATAAAACTGGCTACAAGTCAGATTTTTAAGAAAGACCTTCTGTCTGGACTACCTTTTTCCCCAGGGAAGGTGATCCCCCACCAGAGGGGTGTGTGTGTTCAAGAGTCCCAACATTGGTACACCACTAGAAACCCTAGACCATTCAGAGTATGATTCATTAGCCATTACTCTCTGAATATGATCTTTTAGCCAGTTTTCTATCCATTTACATACAAATTTTTCAAAGCCTTTAGACTTTACCCTACACATTAGCCGTGTGTGGGGAAGTGTGTCAAACGCTGTTATAAATTCCAAGTATACCATGTTCATAGCCACCCCTCTGTCCAAGGTTTTGCTCACCTCCTCATAAAAAGAAATCAGATTTGTTTGACAACTTCTGTCTTTCATGGATCCATGCTGTCTGTTGCTTAAAATATTTTTTTCAAGCAAGAAGTCATCTATGTGGTCTTTTATTAAACTCTCCAGTATCTTCCCAACTATAGAAGTTAAACTAACAGGTCTATAATTACTTGATAAAGATTTTGATCCCTTTTTAAATATAGGCACCATATTGGCCTAACACCAATCCAGTGGTGTTATGCCAGTCATTAAAGAGTCCCCAAAAATTAGAAACAATGGCTTTGCAATGACAGAGCTCAATTCTTTAAGGACTCATGAGTGTATGGCATCCAGTCCAGGTGCTTTATTCACCTTTATTCTGTCTAAATATTTCTGGATCATATCAATTGTAAGCCAATGTGGATTATCTGGGGCTATGCCAATACCATGCCCATTATGGACAAGAGCTCCCTAGGCTCCTTTGTATACACAAATCTGAAGAAGGTATTTAATAAATTTGCCTTCTCTTTGTCCCCAATCACCCACTCTAGATTATTTTGTCAAGGGTCTACATGCTCAGACCTGACCTTTTTACTATTAATATTCTGAGGAATTTTTGTATATCTGAGGAATTTTTGAGGGTTTGTCCTGCTATCTTTTGCAATCTGTCGTTCATTTTCAATTTTTGAGGCCTTGATTTCCTTTTCACATATTCTGTTATATTCTATTTAATGTTTAAATGATGATAGCGTTCCTTCATGTTTATACTGTATAGAAGCTCTTTT